GGAAAGGAAGACAACAATTGGCGGTGAGTTAGGAAACTGGAAATGCCTGTTGCAAAAATCCGGATGGGTGGCTCTTCCGCACAGAGAGGTACTTTGATGTGAATGTGTTGACGAAGAGGGAAGAGATGGGGGCAATTGGAGCAAGTTTGGACGGAGATGCACTGTCATGGCATCAGTAGATAGAAGCCAGAAAATCCTTCTAGGATTGGCAGCAACTCCTGTTGCGTTTTCAGCCGACCCAAGATGGAAGCTTATGCAAGAAACTTTTGGCCATAAACCAAGGTAGATTGGTAGTGAATTCCAACGCGAGTTTGAGTTGTTGGCTGCCCTTTTGAAAGAATTAACGGATGAAGTTCTAGAAAGCACCCTTGTTAAGGGGTTGAAACCAGAGATAAAGGCTGAGGTCAAGTTATTGGGCCCAAAAAGACTGGCCAAATTATTGAAGTAGCCCAGAAGGTGGAAGATAAAAATTTTATAATTAAATTAGCCTAAGAGTCAACAGCCCAAAAATCCATTAAAATCAACCCATCTCTAATTTAGCCAGACGCGAAGCTGCAAGAAGGATTCCTTATGAAGATAATCACGGTAGAAGAAAAAATAGGCAACAATCAAAGAGAAATTACTGTTAAGCACCTGCCAGATGAGGAATGGCAAAAGAGGCGAGAAAAAGGACTTTGTTTCCGATGCGATGAGAAGTACAACGTTGGTCATGTGTGAAAATCGTGAGCTGAGAGTGCTGCTAGTGCAGGAAGGGAGGGGTACAGACAGTGAATTACGTGATTTACTAATGGAGGAGTCACCTGTAGAAGTAAAAGGCATGGTCAAGCTCTCGCCAAACGTAGATGTTGGGTAAACCAATCCCAGAACCATGAAAATTAAAGACACATTAAGACAAGAAGAGGTGATTATTCTAATTAATTGTGGGGCAACACAATTTTATTTAATTAGAATTAGTCAATGTTAAGGGATATTATCCCACATCGAATAAAGATGATAACATAGACCAACTTATAAGATCTTAGACTATTTCTTTTAACAAGGTTGACCTTTTAAGGTGGAACCCCAAGTCTTAACTGATATCAGAGCCCGATTTATCAACAAATCTCCGGCCCAACAATCGTCTCTGGCCCAACACTCATGGAGATACGGGTTTATGTGAGAGGGAGACGAATTTGGTCTCTTGCAAGCCCTTTGTGTGATGGAGAGACGGGTTTAGTCTTCTGCAAGCCCTTTGTGTGAGGGGGAGATGGGCTTGGTCTCCCGCAGAGCCCGATGTGTGAGGGGGAGATTGTTAAAGTTATCCCACATCGATTGTAGATAGGATTGGTATTCAGTTTATAAGTTTGACAAAAAACCTCACCTTTTGAGCTAACTTTTAGGGGTGAGAGACCCAATACCATCCAACACCATTGTTGAGGTTGTCCCACATCATTGTAGATAGGATTGGTATTCAATTTATAAGTATGAGGGAAAGCCTCGCCTCTTAAACTAGCTTTTGGAGTGATAGAGACCCAATACCACCCAACACTTGATATCAGAGCCCATTAAACTCTAGCGAGCGATTCGATCTGATTAAGACTCAATAAATGAGCATACGAATTTCAAAATTAATTTGCTCAAAGGAGTCACCATCTTGCGGGGCATGTTAAAAGATATTATCCTACATCAAATAAAGATGATAACATAGACCAACTTATAAAGTCTTAGGTTACTCCTCTTAACAAGGTTAACCTTTTAAGATGGAACCTAAAGTCTTAACAAATCAAGAAATTGGGTCTGCCAACTACAGCTACTTCGAACTATGGAATTATTATGGGATCTGGAGAAGCTGTAAGAGGAAAAGGAATTTGCAAGGGAGTCGTGGTGGAGATGTGGGGGCTGACAATAGTAGAGGAGGTCCTACCTTTAAAGTTGGGCTACACTTATTTGGTGTTGGGGATGCAATGGCTGTGTAGTTTGGGCAATATGGAAGTCATCTCGAAACTACTCACTATGAAGTTTCGAATGAGAGAATCAGTAATGAGTCTGAAAGGAGATCCTGGGTTGAACAAAGCAGGAGTCTCATTAAAAATTATGACGAAAGCTTCGCAATTTGAAGACCAAGGGATAGGGATGGAGAACGTACCTGAGCAAGTAGGTTGGAAAGGGAAAGGAGTGGCTGTATCTGAAGTTTCAAGGGAATCAGCAGTGCCTATCATTCGACATTCTCCCGACTTTCACCTTCAGGACAAGGTGGATTTGGAAATCGAGGTTAATGATAGGCTCCCATCTACCTCACTCATTCTAGAAGGAACAAAAGGGATTGAGAAGTAACTAGAAGAATGGGGAATAACAACATTCTGTTATATGGCAAATGGGGGATTGAGAAGCAACTAGAAGAAGGGGGAATAACAACATTCTGTTATATGGCAAATTGGGGGGAGGGGGGGTAGTTAGGAAATCCTTATAAATAAAGGTGGAAGGGAAGGTAGAAGACACGCAAAATTGAGAGAAAAAGAGAGTCTAGTAAATAAATTATTTCGATTTTCTCACCAAAGAGAACACTAATCAATCTTGATTTTTCAAAATAACCAAATGGGTCCCACTCAAAATGTATGCCAAAGACAGCCCTTCAGTTCATTTTTTTCCAACACTAATATCAGGTTATGATAAAAAATATTTTTAAAAAAAAATGAAGGTTCTACCCCATGAATTATACGTGTCCATATATATAGGATTCAACATTCTCAAACAAATCAATTATTATAATACAAAGGCAGGGCCAACTAAGAATTTTGAAGGTGAAGGTTTGGGTAGCGTCATAGATATGCAAGCTCCACCTAACATACACCGAGTTGGACAGCGAGTAGTAGATAGGGAAAAGTGGCTTGAAGGATCGGTCGACACCGGTAATGAAGGCATCCGACTAGGTATGGATCAAGGCAAGGAAGATAACAATTGGTAGTGAGTTAGGAAATTGGAAATGCCTATTTTCAATGGTGAAAATCCGGATGGGTGGCTCTTCCGCGCAGAGAGGTACTTTGATGTGAATGTGTTGACGGAGAGGGAATAAATGGGGGCAATTGGAGTGAGTTTGGACGAGGACGCACTGTCATGGCTTCACTGGACAGAAGCTAGAAAACACTTCTAGGATTGGCAGCACCTCCTGCTGCGTTTTCAACCGACATAAGATGAAAGTTTATGTAATAAATTTTTGGCTATAAACCAAAGTGGATCGGTAGCTAAATTCCAACGCGAGTTTGAGGTGTTGGCTGCCCCTTCGAAAGAGTTAACGGATAAAGTTCTGGAAAGCACCTTTATTAAGGGGTTGAAACTAGAGATAAAAGCTGAGGTCAGGTCATTGGGCCCAAAAGGACTGGCCAAATCATGGAAGTAGCCCAGAAGGTGGAAGATAAAAATTTTACAATTAAATCAGCCCTAGAGGCAACAACCCAAAATCCATTAAAATCAACCCATCTCTAATTTAGTCAGACGCGAAGTTGCAAGAAGGATTCCTTATGAAGACAATCACGCTTGAAAAAAAAATAGGCAACAATCAAAGAGAAATTCCTGTTAAGCACCTGCCAGATGAGGAATGGCAAAAGAGGCGAGAAAAAGGACTTTGTTTTCGGTGTGATGAGAAGTACAACGTTGGTCATGTGTGTAAAAATCGTAAGCTGAGAGTACTGCTAGTGCAGGAAGGGAAGGAAGGGTACAGACAGTGAATTACGTGATTTACTAATGGAGGAGTCACATGTAGAAGTAAAAGGCATGGTCGGGCTCTCGCAAAACTCAGTTGGGTTGACCGATCTCGGAACCATGAAAATTAAAGAAACATTAGGACAACAAGAGGTGATTATTCTAATTGATTGTGTGGTAACACACAATTTTATTTCATTAGAATTAGTCAATGTTACAGGATATTATCCTATATCGAATAAAGATAATAACATAGACCAACTTATAAAGTCTTGAGCTGCTGCTCTTAACAAGGTTAATTTTTTAAGATCGAACCCCAAATCTTAATAGCCAAGAAATTGGGTCTGCCAACTACAGCTACTTCGAACTATGAAATTATTATGGGATCTTGAGAAGCTGTAAGAGGAAAAGGAATTTGCAAGGGAGTCATGGTGAAGATGCAGGGGCTGACAATAGTAGAGGACACTTACCTTTAAAGTTGGGATGCACTGATATGGTGTTGGGGATGCAATATGGGCTGCACAGATATAGTGTTGGGAATGCAATAGCTATGTAGTTTGGGCAGTGTGGAAGTCAACTGGAAACTCCTCACTATGAAGTTTCAAATGGGAGAATCAGTAATGAGTCTGAAAGGAGATCCTGGGTTGAACAAAGCAGGAGTCTCATTAAAAATTATGACGAAAGCTTTGCAATCTGAAGACCAAGGGATAGGGATGGAGAACTTACCTGAGCAAGCGGTTGGAAAGGGAAAGGAGAGGCTGTATTTGAAGTCTCAAGGGAATTAGCAGTGCCTATCATTTGAAAATCTCCCAACTTTCACCTTAAGGACAAGGTGGATTTGGAAACCGAGGGTAATGATAGGCTCCCATCCACCTCACTCATTCTAGAAGGAACAAAAGGGATTGAGAAGCAACTAGAAGAAGGGGGAATAACAGCATTCTGTTATATGGGAAATGGGGGATTGAGAAGCAACTAGAAGAAGGGGAAATAACGGCATTCTGTTATATGGCAAATTTTAGAAGGGGGAAAAACAACATTCTGTTATATGGCAAATTGGGGGGAGGGGGGGTAGTTAGGAAATCCTTATAAATAAAGGTGGAAAGGAGGGTAGAAGACTGGCAAAATTGAGAGCAAAAGAGAGTCTAGTAAATATATTATTTCGATTTTCTCACGAAGAGAACACTAATCAAGATTTTTCAAAAGAACCAAATGGGTCCCACTCAAAATGTATGCCAAAGACAGCCCTTTAGTTCATTTTTTTCCAACACTAATATCAGGTTATGATAGAAAATATTTTTAAAAAAAATGAAGGTTCTACCCCATGAATTATACGTGTCCATATATATAGGATTCAACATTCTCGGACAAATCAATTATTATAATTTCAGGAACAACAAATATCAAGGTCAAAACAAATCAGAACTTGCCACCATTGTGTTAAATCAAAACATAGAGAACAATTTACCTCTGCTCTTCACCACTATTGGTTGTTACTATTCTAAAGCTTTCAACTCAAAATTCTCTAGTAAAAAATTGTATAGCTCTTCTGCAACTATCTGGGGATACTCTTCTTGTGGCAAGAGAGCACCTGGTACTTCAACAAATTTGCTTACTCCTTTTGCTCCCCTGAGAGATTCCATTTCTGCTTTTGATCTCTTGGGTGCACTTGCAGTCGACATAACTAAGACAGGAATATCTCCTTTCAGTCCTGCAAATAGTTCAACGAATTCCTCCCTGGAATTTACTGGATCGAGCAAGCCGGTCAAGAAAGCAGCAGGCACATAGCGAGCACCTTTTTGTTTTGTAAGTGCATATCTGCTCTCAACAATACTGGGAGTTACATTTTCAGGATTTGCATACACGTGGGATTTGTACTGGGATTGGATTGCCTTCTCATTGCTGACAAGAACATTGTACATCATCCAACCTACAGCAGGGGCCCTTAAGGTCCCTCTTAGAAGCCCATACCTATAAAGCATGAGTTATAAGGGAATAAATGAGGTGGATCAATTGCAATAAACAAGAAGAATTGAAGTTCGGCATCATAGTTCAGGTATACTAGTATCTCTATGAGAAGCTAACAGATCAAGCAAATACACTGATGCAGTTCTGGCTCCTTAAGAAAATCCAATTAACAGTCCAATAAGAAATTACAGGTACCACATACAAATATGATAGTAATTAGCAATCAATCTAAACTAGGATCCTTTTTCATCCAAAGCACTAGTTTTCCAATAACAAGTTACTGGTTTCTCACTGATTAATGGCATACATCTGACAAGAAAAAAAGCAAAAAATAAAAATGAAAGGTATCTTACAAAACAAAGTACTTATAATAAACTTTTATTGTTTACCATCTGATTTATTATTATTTGTTTGTAAAATGTATGATTCAAGGTTACCTCGATTCCATACTAGAATCTCTACCAAACACGATAGGAAGGGGACCGGCCCAGGTGGGTGCAACAGAAGCAATGGCCTTTGGCTTCACCAAACCCTTCTTTGCAGCACGAACTGTTATCGTTGCAGCATGCCCTCCCCCAAAGACCACATATTCATTATCTGAAGTATGTAACATATTAGCAAGTGGAACTACTTGTGTGAATGTGGTGGTTTGATAAAAATACTACACATAGCAAGAGGTATTGATTATACACGGTGGTTGATGAAGGAGCTACCTATGCAAGAAATATATTAACAGTCTTCAAAAGTAATGAAAGGTGTGCAGAATCAGTAATGCATAATGCATACAAAGTATTGGTTGGGGGATCTGCCAAGCACTCAAAAACTAAAACTTAACCTTTGTCAAAATGTTACTTGTGAAGAAGGTAATGCATCCACCAGCGTGCAAGTAAACATTAAGAATGATAAGAATTATAAAAAGAATAAAAATTATTTTCTTTTATTATGTAATAGGTAAAGACAACATATTAGACAGTCTATGGACCATGGGTAAAGAATCAGTAATACACTACCATAAATTTCTTCTGGATCTCACAAAGAAGATTATAGAGGAAACAACCTCTATGTCAACATTTCATTTTTCAAGACTTGAAAGGGTAAATACAAAACTATAAAATTTTCAGTGGAAGACATTCTGTTTTCAGTTCTACTAACCCAGAAAAAAAATTTTAAAGTCATTTTTTCAACACCATTAGCACATAATTTTCTCTTATATATGCTGAAATGTATCAAAATTAGAAGGGCGTGATTTCAATAATAGTCCAAAATTAGTGGAGTTCAAAGTAAGTACCAAATCTTTCTGAAATTTCAGGAAAGCTTCTCCTTATCCCTCACCCACCCACACATCCCAAAAAAGTTATAGACTCAACATCTCGGAGTACTAAAGAAAGCTACTGTCAACAGTCGAGAAAATAAATTAGCATGAATCCACTCACTATTGAGCTCAACCTAGAGCCCTTCGTCAAACTACACATTTGGCTTCTTCTTTAGATACATCATTTAAGGTTCAATTTGCATCTGTCTACCCCTAATCCTAAGTCCTAACTTCATTAGATATCAAGTTGCTTCATGTCAAGTTTTAATGGTCTTCATTTCACACCATCTCAAATTGTTTTCTATGAATTGATCTTCTCTAGGCTTGACAAAAAGGATCATTTTAAACTCTTATTCTTTCTAATTTGATCCTCTAACATGTTACAGAAAATTCATAAAAAAATTTATTATTATAGAGCTGCTTATGGTACACATGATTGACACAGTAGTTTATGTAACATAGATCCCTAACCACAATATTCTATCAAAATATAACAGCAATTCATCAACTCCATACTGTAAATAATCATTGAGCATGGGTGGACAAAATCTAGTAATTATTAGTCTAAGCAACATCATTGAATTCACCAAGAACGTCTTTTCATTGAAAAGTCACATTGCATTGATGCACACACCTCTATATACACGTGTGTGCACGACCTTTGTAGCATGTGTGTATGACATAAGCGTATATGTTCATGTCATTTTGATACAACATTTTCCACTTCTTATACTCTATTATTATCTATAACTCTGTATAACTTACAACCTTATATCTCAAATTACTCCGTAGAAGTTATAACTTACTCTTATCTTTCATTTAGTCTCATCAACTACTACTATAAGATAAGATCAACACATGCCCCTATTTGTTTCACATTCTTTCTCCATTAAAATGAAAAATATGACCATTATCCATCACATCAAACCACCAAATTTGAATTTCTATCTTTTGTGTGGGCAGTAACGGTTATATTTTTCGTTTTCATCCCTACAAAAATGGGAAACAAGCGGGGAATATACAAAAGATACCTCGTCTTGGTAATCTCAACCAAGTTCATCAATGACTAAAATGAAAAAGAAAAAAAGGAACTAAGGTCGAAACCTAGGTGTAAGCATAATGCAAATAAAATCATTATTGCCACCCGTCCCTTTAGGCTTCTGATTGCTTCCACGAAGGTATTCCTATTATTCTCTCTGTATGGACGTAGAACAAGGTTGATTCCACTGAGATTTCACATTAATTATATAAAGCATACGAATCAAAAAAAGCAACAATTTACAGTAAAGTCTTGATACAGAATAAACATTTAAAAATTAGACTCGTAATCATTGATTCAAGCACAAAAATCACTCCACCTGAAGCAGAGCTGGCGATGGGACTATCAGGGGCGCTGATGAAATCCACCAGAAACTTCTCCATAACGTCTGCATTATAATCAAGCTTAGGCCTGTCAGAATACCCAAGACCAGGCCAATCCACAATCGTCGCACTCCAATTGACTCCGTCGTTTTTCCCGACAATTTCCTCAGCCACAAGTCTCCATTCCTCAACAGTACTAACATCAGAAATAGTGGGCATCATTAGAATGTTCTTGGAGGGCTTCTGAGAGCCATCATTTTCGAGTCTTTCGAAGTGGATGTTTACCGAATTGTCATTGAATTTCCATTGCCAGGTGCTGGAGTTGTTCTTGAAGGCTGATTTAGACGGGGTAGAGTAGTCAATTGATGTGGCGGCTTTGATTCTGGGCCTTAGGGGTTTGAAAATGGAAGGGGGTCTATATAGAATGGGTTTGTGGGTTTTGAAGGATACGGAAAGAGACGGTGAATAGAGATGAAGAACTGCAGAGGCTGCCATTGATGAGTTGGGACTTCAAGCAATTGAATACTGAGATTTTGGGCGATTCTTTGATTTTCTTTTTCTCCAATTTTGAACTTTCATGGTTGAATTTTATGTGGTTTAGGTGACAGATATTTTATTTAGGAATCACTAAGCGTACACAAAATATTACATTCCTTCTCTAAAATATTACATCCCTCAAGAGAAGGAAGGTATATATACAATAAAGAGTTATTCTACACGTATAGACATTTAAGTGTACAGATATTGTGCACAATACTCACATCAGATTTTTTGACAATATAATATTCGTCGATCCCTCTCCATGTACGGAGAGTGTAATCTATTGTGCACATCAAGAGGTATACACATAGAATAATCGAATTATTTTTCACACAGGAACATATAATTTCTAGAAAATAAATATTGTTAAGTACAATTCAATTTGTCTAGTAAGAACTACTCTGATGTATGATGAAAAATGACCTATAACCTACATTTTCCCTCTTTTTTAAGGTTTGCAATTTAAGATAAATATGTAAACCTTATTTCCATTTCGTTTATCTGTTGATTTTTAATTTACCATATACACAATTCATTCTTTCTATAATCGAACATATTACACTTTCATGATCTTTTGTCTAACTCAAAAATAAAAATAAAAATAAAATGAGTGGGCATAGTACGACGAATCCTAGAGATTAATCCATGATTATACAAGTTATTAACTTTGGATTAGAGATTGACGATTGATTGGGCACGGTACACAGGCAGTTGGAGGGTGGAATAGTCTAACGAATTCGCTCTATTGCATCACATTTTTGAATGAGTTAGGATTAAAAGACTTGGTGATACCCGTAAAAAGTAAAGAATTATTTGTTCTTTGAGATGGTCTTTTGTACTCAAATAGGTATAAAAAAAATTAAAAATAACAGTTATCCAATGCACTAAAGTCTAATAAAAAAGATTCAATATTGATAAGCCATGCTTGAACCACATTACGGGGCTCCTATACTTCGGAAGTTAAAATTCTTTAATCCTAGGTATTATCACGGTTTCAAATATATATAATGCTAACTTGTAAAAATGCAGTTCAATATAAAAAAATCCAGAATGGCAAAACATTGTATTAAGAATGTAAGAAATTGTTCGCGTATCCACAATGAGTATGATAAGACTGTCCACTTGCTGATGTGACAGGAGAATCTTATTTACGATTCTCTTCAAATGTGAGAACTTTAAGTAAAATTCTCTCCAAAGTATGCGAGATAAAACTTCTTACTATGGACATAAAAATAAGCGAGTGAAAAAATGTACTTAGACCGTGCTTAAAAATTACATTATAAAAGTAAAAGTTTCTTTAACTTACCTTTAAACACACAAAAACAGATTTTTATCCAAGACATTTTACACGTGCCCTGCAAATATTAGTAAAATTATTTGAAGATGTTCAAAATTTCACAATAATTTCTTTGATCCGAGAGATACCCATCCATGATCCATGTAACTCACTACAGATTCATCTAACTAAAATAATTGTGACACTGAATGAATACCTTAAACAAATTTGTGTCACTAATGTACATTACAGGCCTCCAATTTGCATATGAAGAAAAAAATATTTGTCTTTGACAACAAGGTGTATATAACATTTGGTAGTGCAGCACAAGTAGGACTAGCCAATAGCAAATTTAGCTTCCACTTATTTTTCTTAGGCAACACTATCCAATAGTCGACAAAATAATTGTGACACTGAATGAATACCTTAAACAAATTTGTGTCACTAATGTACATTACAGGCCTCCAATTTGCATATGAAGAAAAAAATATTTGTCTTTGACAACAAGGTGTATATAACATTTGGTAGTGCAGCACAAGTAGGACTAGCCAATAGCAAATTTAGCTTCCACTTATTTTTCTTAGGCAACACTATCCAATAGTCGNTTGTAAAAAATCATCAATAATATGCTATTTGCGTGCATTTTGACCTACACAAAAATACACAAGGTAGCCTAAGGAAAAGGGATCTCTCATTGCATTGTTTCTTTGAAGGATGACATGACTTAATTATAGGATTGCAGGACCTAAATCAAATGTAATCAAATGTTCAAATAATATGGCATCAAAATGCCATATTATAGTCAACATCATGTCTTTCCCAAAACTTTGATTTGGGAATTTCTCTCTATGTGGATTCAACCACGATCTTGTAATAAGGACAAGAAATGTTTTTCGATCAATCATTTTGCCCCTCATCTTCAAGAATCAGAATGATCATTTTCAAGTTTGAATCTCTAGGTTACAAGCGAAGTTAATAAATATAAAAAGTAAACTCCAGATAATCAGAGAAGAAGCTTTCCTATATCTTGAAGCATTAGGACTCAAAATGGTCTTTTGCTCCTATTAACTAGGTTTGAACAAATTCCGATGTTATAGAGTAGAAGAAAATGACATAGAAAAAGAAAATATAAATTTAAGATAGCACCCTCATGAATGGATGAATTAGAATTGCCAATCAACTGCCAACATTCCTTATAAAGATCTAACATTTCTTTGCCACCATCATCATAGCATAACTAAAAGAAGTCATGAAGTAGCATTACATTAATAAATGGGCGAATGCATTTTTAAACCCAGAAACTGAATTGTCCAAATAAGTTTGTTTGATGATAAACTAAGAATCTCCACAAGGGTATAAATTTCAATTTTTACCTACCTTGTGCTTCCTTCTCAAACTGTCAAAAGATTCAAATGTTCCATCATAATACCTACAAAATGAGATTTGTGAAATACATTTTCCTAAACTTTCTTTTTTTTTTTTTTCCAAATTCTTTTTTGTTCATACATTCTCTCAATAAAATAATTTTGCACTTAAACTCCAAACTTTTTCTTACATTTTAACATCAAATTTTCCAAAAAAATCACTATTACATAACTTATTTTCACAAAAAATGAGGCTCAAACATAGCCGAAATCACATTATACAAGAACTCGATTCCCAAACATGGCGAGCACCATCAAAACTCGAAAACTATTAAACCATAAGAAATAATGAGTGACATATAAAATCATAAAGCATTTTTTTCCAATGCCAAGGTATGGAATCCATTAATATATCCTAAAAAATAAAAGTTTAACAATGTAATATTTGCTGACATCCAGTTTCATTTGTTAATGACTATCAATATTAATCACAAGTTCCTTGAACATCAAAGCCCAAAAATTGCTCATGACCTCCAATTTGAACCTCTTGTTCAACGAAAATTCTTCACATGTTCTTGTTTATTTTGAAACTTTAATTCTTCATTATTTTGGAAGGACAAAAAAATACACCAATATCCATTCAATATCAGCTGCTTGGATTTGCTTTCTGTTATTCATCCCATCAATTCATATAGGGTATATTAACAAAAATAAATAGTAATTTATGAGCAGATAAATATTCATATGTGGGCAGTAACTTCCACGTGGATGAAAACTGTTAGTGAAATTGAGAGGATAGAGAAGAATAAAACAAAAAACAAAAGAAGAAAACCCCGAAAAAAGGAAGGCCCAAACACGGGATTAATCGCTGTCCTAAAAGCGATATTTTCCTCTTCTCATAATTTGAGATTGCT